AATATAAAATTACAGAAACTTCATTACAAAATTATTACTTCTCAGACTTGTCCTGAAGAAGTTTCGAAAGAAGGCATCAGTGTAACGTGGCATAAAACACCGACGGCACACAACATCGAGTCAGATCCGCTCTGTTACCGCGATGAAACCTTAATCACAAGGAACTGTTCCTACAGCGGCTGGGTGCCATCACTTAATGATATTGGTCCTTGTTTAAAAGTTGTCAAATATTTCGATGTAAATTCTTGTCCGCCTGGATTTTACAAAGTTTCAGAAAATATCAACGAGTTTTGCTATCAAATAGGTGAACCCTCTGTTTGGGATTCCCCTTGTTTTTCCAGTGGTGGAGCTTCAGTGATAACAGATTTATCTGCTGGAGAAATCGATTTTTTACTAAATTCTCTTAGAAGTACAAATACATCCAAATATTTCTGGTTACCAGCAGCAAGACAAAAATTATTCCATCCCGTAGTATGGACTATTCCAGGACCAAATTGGGGCCAACGTGTTATATCAAGTGACTTCTTAAATTTGTATACACCCTTCACAAAAAATTGTTTACTATTAGATATAGAACGAGAGGCACTTGTAACAGATGTATGTACCAAGAGCTACCCCACCTTATGTTTTTATATAAACGACCATTATTATCCTTCACGATGTCCCGATGGATATCAGTCCTTTCGATTTAAACATGATAATGGCACATGTTTTGGTATAGAAAAAGTTGAACCAGGAATGTCATTTAATGATTTTCTTCAAAATAAGTGCAAGACACCCATGGTTAATGTTAATAGCGAATTAAGTAGATTTGTTTTCAAAAAAATATCTGATATAAATAATATGACAAATGATATGTGGTGCTGGCTTAAAACTTATAAAGATTCTTATGAAAACGATGATGAGACAGAGACCATGAGTAGCAATGATTCTCGAATTATGAAGAGAGTTTCATACGAAGGTATTGTAAACAGTGCTGGAGTTTTAGGCTATATCAATTCCAACACGCCTCTGCCGTGTATGGCCTGTGAGGTAGAAATAGCTTATGGTAAAACAGAATTTATGTTCGAATACAATGAAGCACAAAATAAAATTTTCCTAACAGTTTACTATCCCTCAGGATTATGGAAATATGACAATACCGATAAAGGGATTCAATGTTTTTCTGATGCAAAAGGTTTCTTTAGAGTCGTGGATGTTAGTGATTTACCTTTTATCGAAGCAAACTCATCTCTTTTTTCTGACTTAGTTAACATTGAAAAAATTGTATATGTTATCGATCTTGTTACTGATAGTTCCGCTCAATATTGGTGTGAAGGTCACACTATTGACTTTAATTTTATTAGTACAGACAAAATTATTGCGAATCCCAAGGGTAACAAAATTCATGTACTTGCACTAGTAATGAAATATTATGTTTTACTCGAAAACGTTGAAGAAGATGTAGACCTTACAGGATTAACCGATAACATTACGGATATATTTTTAGCAAAAAAAGTTTTACTCATGGCTGTAATTGATTATTCCTCGGATCACATGGTGATTTTATTACACTTGCATGTCGATGTTGATGATATACATGATGACGAGGCTCTAAATATACAAGAGACATTTAATAATTTAACACTCATTGCACAGTTGGAATTACCAAAATATAACTATATTTTTGTGAACTTATCGAGTTCTGCAGTTTGTTTGCCAACAACTTCAGAAAATGTCAATCAACTAGACTGGGAGATGACACCTATAGGCCATATTTCAGCTCCTAAACAATTTTGTTTACAAGCAAATGGATTACCAGTAAAACGACATTGTAAGGGATCCTATGAAACAGGTGGTGTTTGGGGTGAAGTGGAAGGCTTTTGTGATAGTACTTACGCCCCATCTGAAGCCACAGCTTTTCTATATAATTTTGTAAAGAGACAGATGCCTAATAAGTACGCATCCAGGTTTTTAACTGATGGTCTAAATTTTGTACTCAGTGATACAGATATAATAATTCCTGCTGATATATATTATTTATCTATGTCTTTACAGCATGTATTAGATATAGCTGAGCAAAATGCTACATCAGTAGATACTGGTGATATAGAAAATATAGCCTGGGTCATGGATAGAATGATGGTTCTCGATTGTAATTATTTACGTTTAGCCCAAACACTTAATTCAACCAATGTAATATTAGATTCTGTTAGTGATATTATTGAATTGATAGCACAAAGAACTTTAGTTGATTCTGCAGAGTTAAGCAATGTTTCTTATCAATTTGCATTGAAACCTCAGTTTATAGTCCAAATCACTTATCCAGAATATAATAATATAACTGGTATAGCTGTTATTAGAAATTCAGTTTCTGATAACTTTGCAGATATGCTGGTTCAACCGTTGTACAAAAATACTAGTATAGATGAAGTTCTTTCTATCGACAAATTAGAAATCGCTACGTGGTTACCTGAAAAAGTTTTAAATACACTCCAAAGGAACACAAATGAAAGCGCTGAACATACGAGTGACTTTTTACACATTATTATTACATTCTTTTATAATGACGCAATTTTTCAAGAATTAGCATCTGATAAACATACAGTCAATAGTCGGATCGTAGGAGTTTCGATACCAGAGTATATTTCAAATCTAGAATATCCAGTACCACTTATATTTAGGCAAATAAAACATACAGAAAATATTGATTGTGGTTATTGGGATTTTCAATCCCAGCGTCTAAATCACAATTTAGGTTCTTGGAAAAAACAAGGATGTTTTGTGGTGAAAGTTATAAATAATAAAGTTGTCTGTGAGTGCTACCATCTTACTCATTTTGGACAATTACTAGCTTTGCCAAACAATACCGATGATGAAGATAACCATATCAGCAAAAACCATACATTAGCTTTAAATATTATAACTTTGATAGGAAGCTTTATGTCACTATTAGGAATATGTGGTATTTGGATTACAGCGCTTGTATTTAGTAATTGGAGAAAAAAAGCAGGAACTAAAGTTCTTCTTCAATTGTCAACTGCTATAGCATTACCATTGGTGTTTATTTTAGTTTTTAATTTAGACTGTTCAATGTTCATCAAAGTGAATGATTTGTACGCTGTAGCTGAGCATAAAATATATCAATGTATTATTTTAGGTGCCTTGCTACATTTTTCTATATTGTCTAGTTTTATGTGGATGTTGATAACTGCTATTTTACAGTTTATAAGATACGTGAGAGTGTTGGGAGTTAGTAGACCTTCACGGTTTATGGTCAAGTTTACTTTGGTCGGTTGGGGTATACCTTTGTTGCCAGTTGCTCTTACTTTAGCCCTTGATGCTAAAAATTATATTCCAAGTCCATCACTGTCTAGAAGTATTTGCTATCCAAATGGGTACTATATGATCGCAAGTGTATTATTTCCAATTTGTCTTATTTTGTGTGTAAATGTAACTTTATTTATTTTAGTTCTTCATGCCATATCCCGAGGACCTGATCAAAAAATGAAATCGACTGACATGGATTTGGTCAGTGCACAGCTTAGAGTTTCAATATTTTTATTTTTTTTATTGGGGTTGACATGGGTTTTCGGTATATTTTCATTTTCGAACCATTTACTTTGGTCTTACCTTTTTTGTTTAACATCAACGCTACAAGGATTTGTGTTGTTCATTTATTTTGTTATATGTGACCCAAATACTAGGAATCAATGGATAACATTGATGAAACCACAGTTCATATCAAACTCTTCTAGGAATAGTATTACGAGTATAACTAATGGATAATGTTAAGTAAAGGGGATAAGAAACACGCTTATTCGGTTTAGTAAATATTTTATTGTTAAGCTACCTACTTTAGATTTAAGTATTTGGTAGTATTAATTAAAATTAATTTTAAATAAATATTTAAATAAAAATTTGGTTTGTTTATTTTTTTGTCCACAATCAATACTCACTTTTGTAAAATTGAATAGTATTTTATTATTTATTTATTTATAAGTTTACAACAATAACATTGAGATAATAACTCAGTGAATGCGGTGTATACACTTATTTTAAATTTAATCATGTTTTTAGTATTTCTTTGCAAAATTTTGTTTCGAGCACTTTGTGACGTAGAGAATCTTACACGCTGACAAGGAATTTTGTTGTTTTCAAATACAGCCCAGTATCCATAACACATTAACACACATTAGTAGAGAAACCTTTGCCAAGTGTGTGTGTGTATGGCATGTGAAGCATCAAACAATGTTTTAATAGTTTAAACTTGTGAGTGATTGATAAACTTAAATTGATTATATAATAATGAGGAATATTCTGTTACCGTTGACCTTTCATCTGTTTGCATTCTGTAAGTATTATTTTTCATTTTTTCTTGTTCAACGAACTTAACATGATAATGCCATGGGGTCACCCGGTGACGGACGTCAGCGAAAAAATTACCTTATAAGAATAGTTGTTATAAGAATAGTTTTCTATTGGCAGTCGAAGCTTTATGGATGTATGGATAACGTTACGAAACAGTTTGAGACAGTTTCCAATGTTTTTTGAACATGTTATTTTGTTAATAAATATAATAATAGGGTAGTTGCCTAAATTTTATTTGAATGCCCGTCTGGTAGATTATTTTAAAACACTAGACACGTATTTTTATTTTCTTACAGAAACGAATACTTTCAACGATATATTGATTTGAAATGTACCGTGAGGTCACTTCTATGTACATTTTATACGTAGATTTGACGTTTTAGCCCCCATTCCTAAACTTTGATTCGTTGTATCTAAGTATTGTTTTATTATACGACAAATAAAAAATACGTGTCTAATATTTTTTCATTACCTAACTTAAACAAATTAAATTTTTAATTTTCATATCCTGTCATCATCCCAATTGAAAGCTGCAAATTTTTGATTAGTATATTGTCTTAAAGACAATAATAATACATTTATATATACATAATAAGTTTTACTTAGTAGTAGGTGTGTCTGGCTGGAAGGCGGTGCCAGCGAACCAAGCTATGTATGCCCTGCGTACTGCGCACTACGGCCCAACTGAAGGTCTGGTGGATGATGAGGCTCTTCCAAGAAGTAAGTATACTCTACTTTATATTTAATACAAGTTATTGATTAAATCATAGGTTAGATTCTTCAAATCCAACTTACGGTAAACAAAAGATATTTTTTTTAAATATTAAAAATTTTGTTAACAAGATATGAAATAACAAAAAAAAATGTATTATATGTACACACTTAATAAACTTTAATTAAAATAAGTAGGCGAAAAGAAACTGGAGCACATTTATCTTATTATTTTATTTGTGAAACTGAAATGTCTAACAGAATTTAGGCGAGAAGACTGGCCGCATTACAACTTAATGGTTATTTTCATAATACAAAATTGAGCATAAAATATAATGACTCTTATTGGCCGAGTGGTCGCAAGTGCGACTGCCGGGCAAGGGGTCTCGGGTTCGATTCCCGAGTCGGGCAAAGTATTACTGGATTTTTTAAAAGTCTCAGTAGTAGCACGGAGTCTGGAAATGTGCCCGGTATATGGCAATAGGCGCCCCCTATTACATGGGACTCATGACATAAATAATGAAAAGTGGGTGTTACATTGTATGTAGTAGCATTAAGTGCCGTAATGTGCGCCTCTGCCTACCATTCGGGGATAAAAGGCGTGATGTTATGTTATGTTATCATAATATAAATTCTGGTAAAGATAATACATACTTTTTCAATCCAAGAATGGATTCTAAAACTCGATGTACTTCTAGTCCAGTACAGGTTTTTTTTTATTTTTACAGGATATGTCCACAGCATCTACAAGTTCGGTTGGTGCACACCTGATGTGATACAAAAAGTGTTTCTTCGCAAAACAGCAAATATCACTCTATCCGACTATCAGTCAACGCAAGCTACGTATATTTATGTAAGTAACACAAACATCAATTTAATAACATAATATAACATCACGCCTTTTGTCCCCGTAGCGGTAGGCAGAGGTGCACATTCCGGCACATTAATGCCACTGTACAACGTAACACCCACTTTTCACTATTTATGTTATAAGTCCTATGTAATAAGGGTGAGTCTATTACCATATACCGAGCACAATTCGACTCCGTGCTACTACTGACATTATTTTTTTTAAATCCAGTAATATTTTGCCCGTTCCGAGAATCGAACCCAAACCCCTTGCCCAGCAGTGCACTTGCGACCACTCGACCGCCAAATCAGTATTTCCCAATTCGATGAAATTTGTTGAGCTGGCGGCGTTATGTTGTTATGAGTTCGATGAAACGTACAAAGGGATTACCCGCCAGGCACAATCACAAACTCTGTACAATTATGTACCTACCTAGACATTTTTATAATTCGTTAATCGACCTCGAGACCCTTTGCTAGACAAATGTCATTTTGACCTCTCAAGAAGTGACACAGTAGCAAGTAATTATGTTACGAAAGATAATATAGGTACTCGACTACACCGACTGCCTCATTGGCCGAGTGACTGCCGGGCAAGGGGTCTCAGTTTCTATTCTCAGGTCGGGCAAACTATTACATGGTTTTTAAAAAAAATCTCACTAGTAGCACGGAGTCTGGAATTGTGGCCAGTATTTGGCAATAGGCTCACCCCGTATTACGTGGGACTCATAACATAAATAGTGAAAGGTGAGTGTTACATTGTGCAGTGGCATATTGTGCATCTCAGCCTACCCCTTCGGGGATAAAAGGCGTGATGTTATGTTATATAGGTACTCATATTTACGTATTTTATTATTGAAATCTGCTATATCTGTTTTACCATTTTCTACTTTTAGTTGTTAGAAGATGAAGGTACAATAAATTACAGATTGGCTTGCATAGTAATGAAGACTTACGTCCCAAGAAAACATATGTTCCGAAGAAGCCGATTACCGTTATACTATTGTCAAGGAGAGCTATATTTTATTTGGAAATTGACTTTTCAAAGGATAGAACTCCATGAATTTTATCTTCATGACAAACTGAATATCCCAGCTAATTTCGTTTTCGAATTTTACCATCCTATACGCGTATAAACGATTTGTAAAAAAAAGTACGTTTTGGAAATGCAACTGATGACGTACGCATTTCACCTAGAAGATAAACACTAAACTTGTAAAATTATAGAGACAGAACAACGAAAAATTGTTTTAAACGCAGATAGTAAAATCTGAGGAGACATTGCATTATCACCAAATAAACATAGTTGGAATTTCATTATCGTCTTTTACTGAATATAATTATGTCAGCACAAAAATCTTCATAAATCTGAAACATCTTAAGAAAGAAAGAAAGTATTTAAATGTTTGCGTGCTGTAAACATTTATGAAAGATTCTCGATACAAGCCCATCCATTTTCGCATTTGTAAAATAACTTCACTTCTCAGAAACATTGTTATCACAATGACATACCAAAAGTTTTGTCAACAAACAAAATGCGAGAGCAACATAGATTGAAAAAATGTTCATTTGTTTCACTGCGTACGAGCAGAATGTACGATTGGAGAGGTTTAGCCATTTGTACTACTCTTTGTTAGTATTATTTTTTGTTTATATTACTTTTATTTATTTTTTCAATCGGTTACAATATACAAAATAATTTGAGCAATAGTTTTATATATTTTTATTATTATTAAATTAGTTTATTTTATCAAACGTGCAAACAAATATTTATACAAAAAAAATAAACAACCATATTTATTTTACATATTTTGAGTTATCACACGTGTACATCATTTTTTTAAACTACAGTGACCATCTGCAAAAGGCTAGAAATACAATAATATTTAGAAGAATTTTTTTCGATTAAGCTTTCATTATATTCAGCTAATGCGTAGTGTAGCTACTAATCTTTGAACTAGCCGTGTTGGTCCTGCTGTTAAAGAATCGTGTACAAGTGTTGAAAAATCTTCAGAATATGACATTAAATGTTGTTATTACTAGTGTTTATTCGACCTAAGCTGTGCTTAATTCGCGATTTCTCAATTTGCCACGATGACTTCGAGAAGGATCCTTCGGATGGCGTGTTGAAAGTCCACACGTTTAACTGGCTCGGCTTCGCTCAGTACATACACGGTAAGTTTTTATTAGTCCTACATGGTAGAAAAATCATATTGATTTATAAGTCTATTATTCCAATTGACTATATGAAAAATGTACTGAATTAAATGAAATAATTTTAAAAGTAACTATTATCACTAAAAAAAGTAACTACACCTAACTAGGAGTTTGTGTCTACTTTTCCGATATTTTTTTTTATTATCACTGCACATATTAGCCTATACTCTCCTTCTACTCGTCTCTTCGTAGCGCATTCTGTAGTCAATTCTTTTCATAAGTTCATCCCGTTATCTCCTTCTGGGCCTGCCGCAACGTTGATGCTGTGTGGGATCCACTAGTAGTGAATTTTCTTACCGCTCGTCAGACATGCGGCAGACATGACCAGCCCGATTTCACTTAAAGCTTGCGGCTTACTGACTAACGGCAGTGATTCGAGGATTGTATTTTTAAGTATTGGACCGCAGTCACAAGCCATTTTCCGATAGTATTGTTTTTATTTTAAAAATCTTTTATTAGGGACCTATTTAATTTTCTTTATTCTAGCTATATTATCCTGCCGTTTCCAAAATTGGCTACGCGCATGCGACAACTTTGGTTCTGCGGATGTCTATAGTTACGATAACGAGCAATACTTTTTAATTGCAATAAAATATTGGACTTAAAATTAGGCCAATATAATTATAATCAGTTACTAAACGTAAGTCTTAAAATAAATAACAATGTGTCATGATAGTTACGACTGGGCTGCCTCATCACAGCAAGGCGCCTCGCGTGGTCCTTGTTCACAAGCAGTTTGTCGTCGGAACAGCGGCCGACATGTTACATCTCCCGAAGAACTACAAATTGTACGTTTTAATAAATATCTAAATTTGATTTCTTTGCTATATTATTAATATTATTATGTAGGATAATCTATTCCTTTACTGACTAACCATGATATTTTGCAATGTTTTCTTCATCTAAACATAGATGTATCGATGTTTGTAGTTTAACCCACTGTTTACCCTTCTACTATATATGGGTAAGTCCCATGTATGTAAAAGGGAACGAACGAACGAACTTAGAAATATGTGGACGCAATTCACGAATATTGGACTAACGAGACGATCAGAAACATAAAAAATATATTGTATGGTATTGGTTATACAAATAGAGTATACTATATAATGGACTGTTTTATCTCATCAATTTCTTACGCTTATCCTCTAGCTTCTTCCTCAACCTTCTCTTCTTAATCCTTATTCAATGGATAAAGTCGTAACATGAAGTCTTATTTATCTGGATGCATAGTGCGGTGGCTGGGCAACTGGCTGCCGCGCAATGTGTTGCGGGTTAGATTGCCGCACGGAACAACTCTTTGTGTGATTCACAGATTATTATTCCGGGTCTAGGTGTCATGTGTATGTGAACTTGTAGGTTTGTAAATGCATTAACGACATGGGACAACATTCTAGTGAAGGGGCAACGCTTTTTATTAAAAAGACAAAAGAAAAAAATAATAGTATCCAGATACATAAGTGTAATTAAATGAATAATAAATAATTAATTAATTATTTTCCCACCCAGAGGTAATATTGTTTTTGGGGATTATGAGCGAGACGAAGAAGACTGTGGGTTAGCGCTTCCACAGATTAAAATGGGTATCAGATGTCCACGTGCCTATATAGAAATACCGCCACAAGACATCACACCTCATCCTGAATATACTAGGTACGTAATATGGGACTAAAAGCAGAGCCGGTAACGCACTTGTAACACCTCTGGTGTTTCGGGTGTCCATGGACGGCGCCGATTGCTTACCATCTGGTGATTCGACTGCTCAGCTCGACCGGCTAATACCTTAAACAAAAACAATTTTAGCACCACTTTTAAGAACGAGAATTAAATTTATACTTCATTAATTTGTATTTTATGGTTTTATTTAAAAATTAATAATTTGTAACACTAATGTAAACTTTTGTTTTTAGATTCGGAGTAGGCAATAGTCTCGCTTTGATCAAACTTATTCGGCCATTGAAGTCTCGTAAGTTAATTGTACTAATTTATAGACCATTTATGAATGACATAAATACTGTGTTGTGAATGTGTATGTTTGTAAACGCATGTAACCAGCAGCTGTACCCAAATGTCATTTAGCGCTTGTCTACTTGTAGAGTAGAAAACTAAATTATATAGAATTGACGTAAATTTTAACCACTTGTCAGTGTCATCCTGCGGCCGGAGCAGCCGCGGCGGCTAACATCCGCGTGCTCAGATATAGGTTGGCGGGCGATCACAATGGGACGGTCGTTCTGGACCTCAACTGATTGTTTAACCGCCAACCCGTCTTGCGATAATCAACCGCCAAGTTGCGAGACCGCATAAAACTGCGGTCCCATGAGTTTTGAAAATTCCGCCTCTATTCCGCCACCGCGGCGGGCGCGGGAGATGATCGTGCCGTGAGTCCTTAGCTTAAAAATATAAAATTTAATTTCAGACTACATGGTACCGATATGTTTACCAACGATTCAGGAACGAGCGAAAAAGAAGAAACAAAAGTCCGTGTTTCTGGTTGATTACATTAGTAGTAAGTTCTTATGAATTTCCAACTATAATGAGTGTTTGGATAATGTGAAGACGCTTACAGGTATAGGTACATACATACCTAATTATTAGAAAACATTAACAAAAAATTATTATACACCGTCAAATCTATTTCGTTTTCGTCCCGCGGCAAAATACTTTAAGGACTACTTTCGATGTATAAATAAAAAATAAAAAAGAGGTAAAAAAAATCAAGAAATACACACATGAAACAATAGATGCAAATTTGTAGGCACTATTCGCATCGCACGTGCCACCCGACGAGAAATACCTCTTTGAGTATTACGAGGCGTGATGTTTGATAATGTAATATGAGTTTGTATGCTCTTTCGAAGTTTGCTTTTTGCAATGGTTCACCAGTTATTTTTTATTTTAAACATTTTATTTCTTTGTAAAACTATTGTTTTACTAAGAGAGGCCTATTTTACTTCAGAACGAAAACGAAATAGATTTCACGGTGTAGATATGTCTTACCATCTCGCTTGTTGCTAATTTTTATTTATTTATTTATTAGAAAACGTAAAATACTAAGGTGCCACTAAGATTTCATAATTTTAATCCTTTCAAATTTTCAGCTGTTCCAAGAGATTTCGATTCGGAACGATTAGCCAAGAAAACTCTGAAGTTGTACACTCATAGGGAATGTAAACAGCATCGAATGAAAGCGGTAAGTGAAACATATTTCCACCGTAAGGACGGGCCGGCAAACGGCGAGCACGGGTAGACCCGAGCGTACGGCGCGTCGCTTTCCGCGTGCGCCAAATAGCCATGAGTCTACCACAGATGGGGCCTAATAGGGCTGATACCGATACAGAGCCGCGGAGGACTTAACGAGTTACCAGGGCTACGGCTCGACGTGAGTAAGAGTCTGACCCACCTTCTAGCCTCACCCGGGCGATAAAAGTCATACATGTGAGCAAAGACGATCGATTTACCCTTGTTCCATTCAAATTCTACAGACCTCACATAAATGTATTATTCATTAAATATCGAACAAGTTATACCTACGTACAAGGCATCTATTACTTTTTAAGAAGTCATATAATGTAATCAATAGGTAGTTTAATTATTATCCCTTTTGTTGTTCACAGAGACTAGGTAGTGAAGGAGTCACGCATGTCCTGTGTAGTTCAGGATGTGGTGTCCGGCCTGGTGCGACCATAATCAGTCACTCATCAGATGGACCATTCGAGCTAATCGGAGTGGCAGCGGGCGGAGCTCCTTGCCATCGCCGGTCCATGCGTCGGCGCCTTAATAATGAACCACCACTCTATATAGACGTGTTTCCATACACTAATTGGATCATGAATGTCATAACTGCGCACCATCTTCCCAAGCCATACCCTCAGAATTTTAAGCTGGTTGATGCAGGGCCAGGTATACCTAAAATTATACCTTTCTTCCTGTTCTAGCCTATCACGTCGATTGTTCTTCCAATCCAATAAAATAAATTATGTTAATTAGAGTCTGGCAAACGAAAGTAGAAACTGAAAAAGCCCGGCAAGTTTAAAAAATGTCAGTATAGCAACCCAAAAATTAGTATGTCATACCTGGAGTAACCAGACGTGAAGACGTAACAAACAAACAAATTATTATAAAGTATCAAATTAGGTTACTCCAGTCTAAAATCATTGCTATGATTCCAGGTATTGGCATCAATAAATCGTATTTAAGAAAAAGACGCAAACAGAAGTCTGGATGGCGCGGTCGTACATTTATGAATGGTAACTTTTGCTTCAGGAGTATGAGACATCAAAAGCGTGCTTCTTTTTTCTATTCCGAGAAATTTTCAGTGACGGCTGATCCTCCTGCTAAACTACATGTTATATTAAAAGTAAGGCTTATTCATACGTAAATAGAATTCGTATTCTTTTTTTTGTTAAGACTAGAACATATTCATATTTGTTTGTTTTTACAGATATCTGCTGGTATCGACTGCACAATAGTGTGTGCTCGTCTAACTATGCCCAATCGGATTTCGAAGCCCACTATAGCAGGCGTTGGAGGATATAACCTAACTATAACATTCAACACAGAGTGGTTCCCATACTCATTTTTCTTTTCATTAGCGCTTGATGGGAAGAATACTACTCAGGCAGATAGACAAGCATGGATGAATGAACGCTCTTCTGGTTTCTGGTGACATGTGCCTAATGTATTAATAAATTCATTTCATATTATTTAACTTGTATCTTTTCATTCACCAAATGGTGGCGACCATTTTGTGATGTGTCCTATTCGTTATAACACAAATTGGTGAATAGGACGAAACATAAAAGAATGCTATGATTAGAGTACCTAAATTTAAAGTGTGGGGTAAAAATATGACTAAAATATAAATACAAGTTAGATAATAACTTAAGTACCTACCTGAGAATCAGAAAATACCTCACCTCGAAGCATTTGATTAGCCAAACATGATTATGCAGTGTTAATATAAATAAAAGGAAATTTTTAGAAACAAAAAAGTAGGTACTTATTTAATGCTTAAGAATTCATAGGTATACAATTATTTTGGTTGATTTTAGATACTATCAAAAACTTTCATTGGTAAAGTAGTAAACATTACTAGTACGTACATAATAATAAAATGTTTAATAGAACATGCTTTTTTGGCTTCGGCATGAATGGGCTGGCTGGACCGCAGTGATAACACGGCCTCACAGAAAACCGACGTGAAACAACTTGCGTTCTGTGTCGTCGTGTGAGTGAGGTTACCGGAGGCCTAATTGTCCTATTATATTCTCTCCAATCCCTGAATCATCAACAATCCTCAAATTCCTAATCCCTAAAAGGCCGGTAACGCCCCTTTGATGCCTCTGGTGTTCCAGGTGTCTATGGGCGACACCGATTGCTTACAATCAGGTGATCCATTTACTCGTTTACCAGGTTTTCCCAAAAAAACATCCTTATTAACATCTTTAGTAAACTTAATCGCCTTTTGGGTTCTCAGGGGCGTGGAATAAAGTTCGACACACGATTGACTGTAAACTTGTATATTGGAGTAAACTTTAAACTAAACATAAACAAAGTTGCACAATATTACAATAAAATAAAACTTAAATATTCGCGGTACAAATACGGAGCGCGTGCGTCACGGCTCCGGCGCGGGACTCGTTGTTCTGTGACGCTTCCATGCAAGCGTTGAGCGGTCAGTGGCGGGGAAGCGGGGAAAGAGGTATAGTGAGGTGGTGTGTTGCCACTAGAGTTGCGCTCGTGCGTCCGACACAAACCAAAATCGAATTGCCACGTTACACATCTCATTATAATAAGAAGTTCTTCAACATGAACAGGCTTTAAGGCCATAGGAGCGGTTTTACAGGAGGCCTCGATTTTTTAAGGCCGCAGCATCTGAAAGATCGATGAGCTGAAGCGCCAGGGAGTCCTCTATGGCGCTGCTGAAAGGGCTTACGGTGTTGATCATTCTCATGCTCTCCGTTAACCTTGACCTGCGCAAGAAGGATGGCGGTCCCATTGCCGTGAGAACAGCTTATCGTCTTACGGCTGCCAAGATTTGTTGCGTAGCGTCTCAGTGCGGGAGCATTGCGAAATATCGACCCTCATAAGCCACATATTTTGATTATGTACTTTTAGCATAAGGCTGCGTTTCGGGGCCTTGTCCTGGTTCTGGGAATAGCTGTGCGTAAATTGTCGATTTAAAGAGTCTTACAACGATCTTAGGGTTATCAGGTGACAAAGGATGATTGCCACCAGCTGGATCCGAAGTAAATAAGTTCTTGACCATTTGTAGAAATTGTCGCACCGATTTTAATGATGATGAAGAAGCAGCATCCTTAAATTTATCTAAAACAAATAAATGCAAGATGTATCAATACATTCATGTTGCGAACCAATAAATCATTGGATTAGTTAACATGTAAGTAGATGTGCTTATAGATTGTGCTTCATGTCAACATTAACAGCCTAGAAGTACCCACTGCTAAGCAAAGGCAACCATTAAAGATTACAAATTGTAAGTCCGTGTTTCCTCACGATATTTTTCTTATTCGTATGTCTGCGGTGTCTAAATAATCTTAGGAAGTAGGTACCTACATATACCTAAAAGTCAAATTGTTTACTTGCTGGGTTTCGAACGACCCGCATGCATCAAAAGCAAGCCATAAGCTCTGAGCCTACATTACAAAAGATTTTGGGTTTCAACAGTAAGTGTTTATCCGCAAAACAAAATATAATATACCCGATATTAAAATAAAATAAAAAGTTCGTTTAAAAAACCGACTTCAAAAAACAAATTCTAATAACAAACAAAAAGGAAAACCAAAAAGCAAAAACTAACTATTATTAGTACTGATAGGTTACCCACCCCACCCATTGATAGGTAGTCGCAGAGAACCTAACGGGTTACCGGGGCTCCGGGTCGATGTGCTGGAGAAGGAACGGGGTGGTTTTTAGTCAGTAAGAGACTGACACTCCCTCCCGCCTCACCCAGGCGGGAGCAGTCATTCGATGATTTTCTCCCACTTAAAAAAAACCAATTGATAGGTTAGAAGTCGGCGCCATAAGCTCATATCATAATGATACCGACTCCTAACCGTCGGTTCTTGTCGAAGTCGGTTTTTAAACGCACTTTTTTTCAGTGTAAAGCTACATAGATCCGTTTTGCCTCTCATAATTTGCATATGTGTTCTAATCAGTACAAATTAATCAAGCCCAAACACAAGGTAGTTAATATAAAACGTTGAGGAGTTTCCTCGACTGTCTGTCGGCTCCATAAACAGGTCGACTCCAGACCCTTATTAAATTGTAGTGTTTAAAAATAGTAATTGAAAAATATAATAGACGCATTACTCGCCCCTACAAGTTTCGAAAGTTCCTCTCGGTTTCCCTAGGATTTAAGATCCTGATTTCATGGAAATGGGACCATCTCGGGAGAATACCCTTTCGAACAAAACAAGAATTTTGGAAATCGTTTCATAAATGGCGAAGTAATCGGCGAACGAATAAAAAAAAACAATCAGTCGAACATAGTGCCTCCTCCTTTTTTTGAAGTGGCTAATAAAAAGTATCGATCGAAAACTGGAAACAAAAACTATCTCCATTTGCGTACCGCTTTAGAGTCTGTCCGAGTTCGAACAGCCAAATTTCATGGTTTGTCATTCCAATATTCAACAAATAAATCCGCTTAAATTTTATTTCGCAGTGTGAACATAGCCTTACTACGCCGACACTTTGAGGCATGTAAGCCCTGCTTGTGTCATTTGCTTTTTATAGGTCATCGCACAACTAGTAAGCACGAGCCTCGACTACACCTCGAGTGGACCACACGTTGTCCACCCGCCGCCGTCGGCATTTGCTATTGAAGTTATGAAATATATCATACGACATACGATTTAAAGTTCATATTATTATTTAAATGACAACTACACAAAAACTTAAAATATCAGGGCTCAAATAAAATGACATCTTGTTCATGGACCACAGACAGAGTGAATTGCTAATTATTACTATTATCTGTGGACCACTTTTATTCTACTTCATTTTTTTGCGACCACTTAGATTATAATTCTATGTGCGACAATAAAAACAATACGAAGTCAAACTACTTGATTCATGTAAATCCCATCGCGTTAATATTGTGTGTTCGGAGCGGTAACGGGATCATAGCGCGATCAACATTTAATATAATAAAATATTATTAGTCAGAGTTGTCACGTCGCTCGATAGAGGGCGTTAATATCGAGATAGATCGCGCTATGGTTTCGTTACATCAATTTGGTTAGGTTGCTCGTCAAACCTGACGTTGGCGAGTACAACCAGCGCCCCTAGCGGGAAAAAGGAACAACGGAAGTGAATAAAAAGTGAAAGTAATAGTGGTGTTTGTGTTGTTATTCCAAATCCCTCGCAAGCCGACCCTCTGTCTTCTTCATGGTCCTTCGAGCCGGATGAACTACTCCCGAGAGTATTTTTTGTGCGGTCACGAGTGTCGGGAGTGACCGCAGCCCTTGTAAAAATACTGGACGGTGGGCGGATCCGCTGTCCAGGTCAGCCCCTTCAACCTGGTGAGAGTTGGAGGAGGAGCCGGGTGACCTGCCTCTTGGAGCTGAGGCAATCAGATCTGGAGCCATAGTCTTAAGCCGCCTCTTGGAGCTGAGGCAGCTAGGACTAAGGAGGACACCCTGGAGGAGGACGCAAGGGAGGGAAGAGGCGCAGAATAGTGGGCCAAGTTATAAGTGAGTGAGTGAGGATCTGTGAGTACATTTACAAAATTACATAGGACTTGTAATAGAGATAAAAGGTAAAAGTTCAAACAAGTCTTGTAATAAATGTGATTCGGAAACTTGTAATTTTAAAGTGTTTCTAGAGACTTTAAGTGACTCAGTTTATTGGTAGATTTGTAATTTTTTAATTTTACATTCCTAATATTGTTGTTACTGTTATATTTGCTACTGGGTTATTGTTTACAAATAGATATGGAGTCTTACAGTGCTATTCAGGATGACGTTAGGTCCAAGATAATAAAGGCTCGTTCAATAGTTAAAAAGAGTTCAAAAGATCGGCTTACTGCGTCATACCTTGAAACACGCTTGGAAGGTCTAGAACAGTATTGGCATACGTTTTATCATACGCATTCGAAAATAATAACTGAAATTAAACGGTCTGAATTATACAATTCCAGTTATCATAAGGATAGTGTGTATGATGAGGTTGAAGAAACGTATGTCCAGTTTAAGAGTGATCTTAAAGAACTGTTGGCTCAATGTAAGACTGATAATACAAATAACAACATAGGAAGTAGTAATGCAGGTTGTAATTTTAAGTTACCGGATGTAAAGATACCTGTGTTCTCTGGTAAATATCACGAGTGGCAGACATTTCGGTATTTATTTGTTGGGTTGGTACACAACAATAAAAGGTTAGACGATGCACAAAGGATGTACTACCTCAAAGGATATTTAACTGGAGACGCAGAACTACTGTTAAAAAATGTAAATGTTACTGCAGATAATTATAAGGCAAGTTGGGAAAAGTTGGAATCTATGTATAACAACAAAAGGTTTCTGGCAAATGGTATTTTAAAACGACTTTTTGGTCAAAAAGCTTTGGTGGTAGAATCAGCAACGGAAATTAAAAGACTGATCAATACAACATCTGACTGTTTAAGTTCACTACAAAATTTGGGTGTCGATATTTCATCATGGGACTTAATGATAGTACATATTGTTAGTACCAGGTTAGACAGGGAGACTCGGAAAGCATGGGAGTTGCAGGTTGCTTCAGACTCAAAAGACGATTTGCCGACTTTTGACCAACTGAATGAGTTTTTAATCAGTCGGTTTCGTGGTCTGGAAAATCTAGGAAACAAAATTGAAAACATCTCAAAGCAAACGCAATCATTTCATGTAATGAAAGATATTAAAAATAAAAATATTACATGCGAGTACTGTTCCGCAGCTCATAGAATTTCTTCGTGCCCTAAGTTTTGTAAACAGTCAGCAGATAGTCGTAGAAATATTGTAAAAGAAAATAATTTATGTTTCATTTGCCTTAGTAATACTCACTCAGTTAAGTTTTGCAAGAATACTCTCAGGTGTAGGGTGTGTAAACGCCGCCATCATTCTTTGATACATCCCACGGGTGTTTCTGGGTTGGCAGTTAGGGAGAGCAGACCGGCTGCTCTAGAGGGAACCTTATCGGTTAATAAGGTAGGCGGTTTCGTACCAGCGGAGAATATACCTCTGGTCTCATGTCTTTCGACAGGTAATAAGCAAACAGTGCTTTTAACCACAGCCCTGTTAAAGGCCGAATCGAGAAATGGGAAACCCCAGACGGTTCGGGCGTTACTGGACCAAGGGTCACAAGGTTCTTTTATATCGGAATCGATGGTCCAGTACTTGGGTTTAAGGAAAATTCCTTTAAACAATGTGGTATTCGGTTTGGGTGGAGTTAAAGGTGCTACGTCGACTGCCAAGGCAGTTGTCACAATCGGATCGAAGCTCGATCCAAATTTTAAACTGAGGGTAAACGCATACGTTTTAAAATCAGTTACAGCTCTTATCCCAGCTACTAAAGTAGCCAGAGTAAAAGGGCTAGACATACGGGATAACGAGTTGGCTGATCCAGAGTATTTTAGACCGAATAACGTTGATATGTTATTAGGAGCAGACATATATAGTCAGGTTATTCGACACGGACTAAAGAAAAACGTAGGCGGCACACTCTTAGCGCAGAATACTGTGTTGGGCTGGATACTGTCTGGGAAAGTTGACGTAGAAAATCCTAATATGGATTCTAATATTACAGTTATACATTCTAGGGTCCAAAACCATATGTTAAGAAAGTCTTATTTGCCAGGAATCTGATAAGATGCAATAGGTATTCATACATATGTGTAATTTAATATTTTTAACTGTAATTTGGAAGCATTTTATTTTGTTATAGGTGTTAAATTTATGTGACTAGTTTAGGGGGTGTTTTATATTGTTTATTGGGTGATGTTATTGTTTATATACATTGGAACCGCCAAGGACGTCTAGGTAATGGGTTGCCACCCTGGATGTGGCAAATATAGAATGGTGGGCAGTATCAAATTAAGGACATTTGTCCAATATGTCCTTGGTGGGCGGCATGTTCGGAGCGGTAACGGGATCATAGCGCGATCAACATTTAATATAATAAAATATTATTAGTCAGAGTTGTCACGTCGCTCGATAGAGGGCGTTAATATCGAGATAGATCGCGCTATGGTTTCGTTACATCAATTTGGTTAGGTTGCTCGTCAAACCTGACGTTGGCGAGTACAACCAGCGCCCCTAGCGGGAAAAAGGAACAACGGAAGTGAATAAAAAGTGAAAGTAATAGTGGTGTTTGTGTTGTTATTCCAAATCCCTCGCAAGCCGACCCTCTGTCTTCTTCATGTATGTCATGCATGTAATGCGTTCGCAGAAACAGGATATGTTCAATAATAATAATAAAATTTTCTTACCTGCGGGATTTTCCACTTGCCTTTTATATCGCCCTTTAATTGTATTATTAACGAGTTTTACACCATCACGTGGTATTAATTCGTTCAGTGTATAGTTGGCAAAGCTGACGGCCTGAAAAAAGGATTTTATGCTAAATTAATCCTGTATTTTCATAAGATCTTGTATTTTATTTTAATACTTACTCAAAATGTATAGCAGGGTTCTTATTATAATTTTGGTGTTGAAATGGTAAAATTAAAAACATCCGTTCAATAAAACTAAAGATTGTTTTTTCGAAAACTAGTCAACTATCAAATAAAATCATTTACTAAATATCTAAGAAGTTACCAAATCATAAATACGTCTAGGCAGGCCCAGATATAGCTATTTAAACCTACCCATACACTGAAGACTTTCTTCAGTCATTGCGTTTACACAGGACACTATTTCAAATTTCAACAGGGAATTTTCTACATCTAAACTTTGTTAACCGGTTAGCTCTTCTGACTTCTTCTTGTAGGGATAATAAGGAAGAAGGTAAAGATATAACATATACATACATATATAGAACATAAGGCAATCTCGATAAAACTCGGGAATTGCTGAACCGATAAGTCTTGAAATGTTCGTGGAAATCCATGGAAGGTTTAAACGATGAGAAAAAAGTTGTCACTGTACAAAGTGTGGCCGGGTCAAGTAGTACCATATAAAAGCAACTCGTATAACATTGAGTCGATTTGATTGAAAATTGATGGGGCATTAGATTAAAACCAGAAATCGAACATAGGATACAGGGATTTTCCGAAAATCCTTCGGGAACGGGAAATAACGGGATTGCTCATACGAAGTCGTGGACAGAAGCTAGTTAAGTACCTACTTATAAAGAAGTAAAAAACAACAGGTGAGTGGAGGCTGACTGACTATCTCACCTTCCCTTACCCCCTACACTACATAGCCACTCCTAAAAAGTGCAAGGTATTTGTAAAGTTTTAATAACACTTCGACTAAGTAATCAGCGCCAGAACCTCGTGTTCAGTATAGGTTCTCCATAGCAATCTACACCTTGGAATGAGCAAATAGCTTTTCTTTTTTTTTTGTATTTTATAGGTCGACGTTTGACCACCATCTCGCCTGATGGTAAGCGATGATGTGGCCGACGATGGAGCACGCCTACCTATGAGCAACCTGTTCACTCGGGACTTGAAGCCACCCAAGTCATATTTGACGGGAAACACAACCTCTGGCAAGGAATTCCATTCCTTAGCAGTTCGCATGAGGAAGCTTGACGCGAAACGCTTCGTTCGAATCGAATGGGTGGAATGTCCACCATATAAGGGTGGCGTCCCGCCGTTCGTCTGGTGGTACGGTGGTGAAAGAAGCTTCACTTTTAAATTTATATTGTTGACGTTCAAAAGTGATAAATGATTTTAACTTTGACTTTGACTTCGAGCGGTCGAGCTGCACAAATGCAAACTTCATATTAGGTTAATACATACCGGTGGTTCAGGTTTATCAGTCACAGTAGCTGCAGTACTTGTAGATGTAGCCGTCGTGAAATAGTACTGATTTATTAAAAAAAATATCGTGTAACACAATGTTGAAGTATTTAAAATCGACATTTTATTAAATATAATATAAATAGAATTCATTAAATATGCACTTGTATGTAGATGTCGTGTACTCTCCACGATTGAATGAACTATGAAAGTTGTTGTGTTGCTTCGCTATGTGACTGTCACCACCAATGTATTGTATCTAAAGTCTAAACAAAAGAAGGCGAACTATTGTATTTCTTTATTTTTCGTGAATCACGATTAGATGAGTTTAGGTCCACAGATAACGGATTAATGTAGTATGATCGACTGAATTTTTTTTTCTACTGTAGGTTTGAATAGAACATCCCTTACGATCGGTCAACGGACAGTTCTCTGAGATATGGTAAATTTGATTGAAAAATTGGAGGTTACAATACCTACACTTGCTGATAAAAGGTATGACCTGACATAACATACATATGTCATTGTTGGTTTCATTTTGTAGTTTTGACACATGTCAGCAATGGTAATTAATATTATTATTATTATGGGTACTAGGTTGCAGGTAGGTTAACTTGAATCTAATGTCGGAATACCCAACGCTACTCAATTTTAAGCTCGCGCTCAAGTATAGTTCTGTCTCTACAAATTCTTTGTAAAATGACAGAGATGGCACGATATTTAAGTACAACTTAAAATTGAGTAACGTTTCAGTATTCCGGCATAAGTCTTTTAAAAGTGTTATTTTTCGTTATTTTTTGTACTCAATAATCGGGGCGTCGTTTTCTTTCAATAACAAAATAACAAAAATTTGATTTTTCATAAATTCAAACTACACACATAGAAATGCTTATGTATCGGGTAGAACACTTCTATAAAATAATACAAAAGTAATCACAAAAATGTACTTATATATTTTTTTTAAATTGCATACATGTCTTAGGCAGACTCTACGGATACCGTGTCTGCATCATTTAGACCTTTGTCTTCGTTGTTGGCTCCAGGAAAGCTAGAGGGAGGTGAGGAAGTTCCCTGAAGGAAAATGTTGTCTGGGTATTGTGGTATTGGGAGCTGAGGAAGCTGAGGAAGCTGAGGAAGTTGCGGAAATGAGGGAGATTCTCCAGACTCTTGAGGCAGTTGGGGGAAATTAGGGAAATTGGGGAACGTGTTGGAAGGGGGGAAAGGTGGGAACTGCGGAGCTGGTTGAGTGGGTTCAGGTGCTGGAAGTTCAGGAGCTGGAGGTTGAGGAGCTGGAGTTGATGCTGGTTCTTGTTGTTTTAGCTGATCAGCGTTATAATCTGCGGAATCTACTACGGCAGAATCGGCATCCCCAGATGGAGAAGAGGGTGGGCTTGGTGAGCTTCCAGGATAAACAGGAGGAGGACTGGTCTCAGGAGCGCTAGGATAAGCGGGGGCTGATGGGAAGCCAGGAGCTAATACTGGAGCAAATGAAGCTGCAGAAGGATAGAAGACGTTCGCAGTCGGAATATACGAGTGTGCCGCTATGGGGTAATACGTTGGTTGTAGGGACGCGAAGCTGTTAATTTGTGGCACTCCGTGATATGCGAACTGAGGCTGCGCAGCGAAAGCATACGATGATGGCACCTGAGGAATGATGTATATGAAATAAAACATATATACGTATAATTTTTTACTATTTGTACTGAGCTTATTAAAGATAGACTTGTAGATAATTGCTGGACTCGATCGAGTTGATTAAAGAAAAATATTTATTTTATTTATTGCAACAGGAAAAAATGGAAAGGCCGAGACAAGACACTGTCTACCAGTATTCAATGAATAAACAGCGAGCACATTTAATGAGGTTAAGGGCCGATTTCTCAATCGTCAGATAATTCTTAACTGTAGAATAAAATTGTGCTTGACAGTTGTTAGTATGGAAGAATTGTCAAATATTCAGAGATATTGCTCAGTTACAGTTTATGTGGTGTTGGAATAAGCGGCTCTTATAAGCAATCTTACCGCATTAATGTATTGTGTTGTGGAATAAGCGGTGGTCTTTGTCTCCCCTGGGATGATGGTCTTCAGGATGGGGGAGGATACTGCGATGGCACCAGGCCACGCTACGGATCCTCCTGCCGCGCAGCTAGCTAATGCGCATAGCAGTGTGATTACTAGCACCTGGAATGTGTGATTACAAAATTATTAATTCATCTACTTTTTATATAACATAACATAACATCACACCTTTTATCCCCGAAGGGGTAGGCAGAGGTGCACATTATGCCACTGTGCAATGTAACACCCACTTTTCACTATTTATGTTATGAGTCCCATTTAATAGGGGGTGAGCCTATTGCCATATACCGGGCACAATTCCAGGCTCCGTGCTACTACTGAGATTTTTTTTAAAAACCCATTATTACTTTGCCCGATACAGGAATCGAACCCGAGACCCTATGCCAGTCCAGGCAGTCGCACTTGCGACCACTCGCCAAACGAGGCAGTCAACATTTTGTATAGACTGAGATAAATGTTACTGATAATAACCAGATCAATAATGATTAGTTTAAAATTTATTACAGTTTGTCGAAGGTCCTATGAATAGTAAAGAAGAAGAAATACGACGCACCATGGACTTTTTGTGTGCATCTTGTTGTGTGTCGTGGCGTAATAAATGGTTTTTCTTTCTTAAATAGCAAATTATAATCGTAAGTATTTTTTATTTTTTTTAAGGGGTGAAAATCATCGAATGGCTGCTCCCGCCTGGGTGAGGCGGAAGGGAGTGTCAGACTCTTACTGACTAAAAACCACCCCGTTCCTTCTCCTGCACGTCGAGCCGGAGCCCCGGTTACCCGTTAAGTTCTCCGCGACATAATCGTAAGTATAGGTAGTTAGTAATCTTAAACATTCTAAATATACTAGAGCTAATAATAAAATATCAACAACCTATAAATGCCCACTGCTGAACAAAGCCTCTTCTCACACGGAGAAGGTTTGAGCATTAATCACCACGCTTGCTCAATGCGGGTTGGCGGTTTCAAACTTATAATTAGAAATTTTAAGCCCAGTTTTCCTCACAATGTTTTCCTTCACCGTTTGTCAGTGGTGTCTGAGTAATCTTAGAAAGTATACAACTCGGAAAAAGTCACATTGGTACTTGCCGTTGATAGGTTTCAAACCCGCACTCTCATACATGAGAAGCGGGAGTCTTAAACCCTAATTTAAAATATAAAAGTGAAGAATAAATATATTGATGGTACCTATATTTAATACAGAGACAGTAACCACCGCTTAACTAAGCCGAATAGCTATAAGAGATACAGCTTCGTAAAAATGCATACAATTTATTGCGTTTGTTCTAGCTAATCTTTAGAATGGCTGGACCGATTTTGAAAGGACCGTTTTATTAGTAGATAGCTAATGTACTAAATAATAACATGATAATTGAAATAAAAGAAGTTATTTTCTAAAATTCATATTTATACGCAAAATAAATGACTTTTCTGGTTGATGTTTTTTACTTTGTGTCCGAATAACCGAAATATCTTACGGGACCCTATTTTTTTCCAAAATAAAATATGGCCTATGAAACTCGTAGGTAATGCAGCTTTCGAATGATAAAAAGTTTTTAAAATCAGTCCAGTAGTATTTAAACCTATTCATTGCAAACAAACAAAGTTTTCCTCTTTATTATATGAGTGTAGAAGTGTAGAAAAAAAAACAGAGACTAGGCAGAAGCACCTTCTAATCAATACATAGTATAAAACAAAGTAGCTATCCGCCGTCTGTCTGTCCCTATCTTTAAAACTACGCAACGGATTTTGATGCGGTTTTTTTTAATAGATAGAATATTTCTTAAGGAAGATTTATATTATTATGTATTACATGCATATTGCACCCGTGCGAAACCGGGGCGGGTCGCTAGTAAACCATATTTTAAAATGCAATCTCCGATCTATGGTCGAGCCGGACAATTTGTGCAGAAGCATGAGTCTTCCTGTCTTCCATGTGATGAAAGATTGTCCTTAGCTTCGTGGATCACAACCATTCACAATTCAATTTAAAATCAAAATCAATGATAATATGATTATGACTTTATTCCTTATTATACCATTGATATGGAAATGTAACATGTGGAATAGCGTCATTCCACATATTGTTGTTTTATGTAAAGAACACAGTTATTGAATGTCTTCACTACTCTGTATTCAGACATGTGCATTCTGAACTGTTTTTGCAATCTAATTTAAAAACACGAAACCACTGCAATATGTAATTTTATTTCAAATGCATTGTGTAATATGGATACGTACCTATGGTTTATTTTTACAGTAAAAAATATATAATAATTTTAAGCCTATTGAAAAACATGATTGATATATAAAAAATAAATACCTACGTAACAAAAAATTATTAAGCTTATGCCTTTTTAATTCAATTACTTTGTTTAAAAAATGCTCTTATACTTCTTTCTGTTTTGTTACATTTATTCTTGAAAGCCTAAAAATGTTAATAGATACGAATCTACATTTCACAAAAATGCTAACATTTCTAGATACTTGTCTTCTGTCAAGACCTAGGTACAAATCTGGCAAGCCCAAAATGCATTATGAACACGTTAAACGCCATGGTAGTCACCGGTGACCGACGTTAGCGAAGGATTTGAATTCAACAGTTTTCTGGTGGCAGTCAAAACCTCAATGAGAAAATGTGAATAAATAACCAACCTAATATACTAAGAAAGGATCACTTCTTTTCATACTTTAGTAAACAGTTTTGACAATAAATGTTACAATATACATATAAAAGCCAACCACAGGTGAGTCACAAAGACAATATACCACTATATCGGACACTCATCAATCATTTTGATTGCTTAAAAACTCATATATGGGGCTAATACTAAGCTTTAAGTCAACTATGCATTAGTATATTCATATCGTCTAGTGGTTGTCACATATTATGCTTACGTTATACCTAACTGAAAACACACGTTGATTAGGAAGTATTAGGTACTAGGAACTTCACATTTCTGTTAACACAGGGTGTAATTGGAACGCTTCCGAAAATCACCGACAGGTGGCGGTGAAACTATTTTTCTTTTCATAAAAGTAAGGAATACGGTACTTGACATCTAGTCAAATTCAATACTTTTATCGGAACGTCAAAAACGACGCTGTCCTATGAATTTTGTACGAAATATCAGCTAGTGACATCAAAATATTTCCACGTCAAATTGCACACTTATTTCTGAAAAAATTGCTAGAATAAATCGAAAATTAAGTATAAATTGTCAAATCAATGAATGAAAGTGTAATTAATATTCAATATTTAATTGGATTGAAAAATCAAAAAATCAAAATAATTTATTTTTAACCCAGGAAACTACACAGTTAATAGTTTTTTAAAGTCATAATAGTTGTAAACAACTGGGCTGGCAAGTCAAGTTGATGTTGCATGAATAAAATGAAAACCAAAACGATAAAAATTATAAAAACAATTTCTGTTTGTCAGCTTTTCGGGGGCGTTTCGTTTACACTCTGTATATAAAAAAGAAACTACCAGAACTAAAGAACTTCACATTCTATTCCTACAAAATTTGTAAACTACAACAAAAACAGTCGTAAAATGCAATGCCGTTATAGACGCAATCTTTGAACTACAAAAATTTAAAAAATAGTTCACTAAAATATTCACAACAAATACACAGCCGGGGCGTACATATCACCAAATCACTTGTTGTCACTTGATATAGTTATATTTATAGTATAATCCAAGGTTGTCCACGTACCTTCATATTGGAGGCACAAAAGTGTTCTCTGTAATACGCGATGTGATCTCCTGACGAGCCTTTTATACATTAAGTAGAACCCCGCCCACACCAAAGAAAGTCATATACTAGATACGTCTCGCATAATTGAAGCAATCGAATACAGTCAAAATCATCTTAGTTTATGATACTTGAATTTATCTAGTTAGGTTAAATATCGCATGGCAACAGAATAAATATTATAAAAAAATATTACGAACACTAGAATGTAATAAACATTGAATACATCATGTACACTGGGCAAACTAAAACACAAACACCAGATAACGTAAACTTTTATTAAATAAAATATATGAATCTAATTAGGTATATCAAAACATTTTACCTAACTCATGATGAAAATATCACAACACAATACAGTACTACTTACTACGTAACTGTATAGGGTACATTTCAGAAATTGCTTGTATAATAGGTAGACTCCAAAAATCATATAAGTAATCAACAATATCAATAAAAATAAACTCTAAATAAATTAACTCTAGGTTCAGTTTGCATTGAGTACTTACTTGTTTTGTCATCTTTTAACAATGAAACTTAAAGGATGCTAGGTTTTTGGAAACAAAGAATAATTTAATTCAAGTTTCGAATTCGATAAATCTTAATATAGATTAAAAAAAAAATAAAGCTAAACCTTCTAGTATAATTAAATCTTTTATACAGTAAAAAATAAAAGTTGTTTACGGCATGCAGGAATTAAAACTGAATCACTTATTTATAAATACATAATATTTAGACAATATAAAAAACGTTCATATAAAAGTAAAAATATTTTATTAATGTGTGTAAACTTTGAAGAAGAATTAAAGTAAATACCCAGTAACAATGAGGCCTAGACCTCGAGAAAAAAAAGCTTACAGGAAAAATATTGTATTTTATTATCAAACAGTTTTTTTCCTTACTCCGTTTGTTTGTTTAGGTTAAACATAATTGGAATTTCATTTCCTTCTAGCGACAGTAAAGTAGTAAAAGTACCCTTAACCGTCGAGCATATCTACATGAAAAGATTTATAACTGTTGATGAAGCGAAAGAGGTATGTACCAATTGGAGTTTCATAGTCTCTGCCTATCGCTATGGGAGTCAGGCGTGAAGTTATGTATGTATGTCTTTTTTTTTTTAAGGGGGGAAAATCATCGAATGACTGCTCCCGCCTGGGTGAGGCGGAAGGGAGTGTCAGACTCTTACTGACTAAAAACCACCCCGTTCCTTCTCCTGCACGTCGAGCCGGAGCCCCGGTTACCCGTTAGGTTCTCCGCGACATGTATGTATGTCTAGCGACAGATCAAACTGATATTTGGTACTTACACACTTTTAATCTTGATGACCATACAATATAATCTATTGGTAGGACAGAACTCATATTAAAACGTTTAACATATTTTTATTCATATGTACAACTCGTTTTTAAATTTATTCGAACATGGGCCCGAAGAATTTGGTCTTAATGTGGCTTACAACGGGTTCGGCTCTTGCTTTAGACAGTGGATGATCATCGTCATCGGCTTTTGCAAACAATATAGTCTTGAGTAACTTCACAATCAGGCGCACCATTACTGATGACGACAATCCTTCTTCATCTAAAAAAAAAACGTAGCGATGAGAAAAAAAAATTTTTTTGATGACTTTATATAGCACTTTTATTATTATTACTAGCTTCTGCCAGCGGCTTCGCCCGCGATCCCAGGGGTAAAATGCCTATGTATCACTTCAGACCATAATCTACCTCTGTTCCGAATTTCATTCCGGTCCCTTCAGTCGTTTTAATATGACTGAGTAACAAACATACACATAAACTCACATATTTTCATTTATAATATCGAGTCAAGCTAATTTCAACCATTGGCCTTTCAGTTACAGCGTAAAGTCTATGAATGAGTATTGTAAACGTTAGAGTAGACAAATACAATCAGAAATCACCGAATTGCTAAGCTATCGGGAGTTTCACGTGTTATTGTGAGTCAACCATAAAAGATAGACCTATGCTGTCGAGGAATATTTTTTATATAATTTTAAGGAGAATATTTCCGTCATATATGATTTCTATGCAGCTTTAACCTATAAGCCTGCACACGCGACGGAAGCTTAAAAAATGGAGTAACTTCTCCCGTTTTCCCAATATTTCCCTTCACTGCTCTGCTCCTATTGATCGTAGCGTAATGAAAAGTATACTATAACCTGCCCAAGAGTATGAAGAATAATTGTGCCAAATTTCGTTAAAATCCATCGAGTAGTTTTTGTTTCCATAACGAACATACAGACAGACAGACAGACAGACAAAAATTTTACTGATTGCATTTTTGGCATCAGTAGCGATCCCTAATCACCCCTTGATAGTTATTTTTTAAATATATTTTATGTACAGAATTGACCTCTCTACAGATTTATTATAAGTATAGATTTTTTTAAGGTGTAAATATTTTACATAACATAACATCACGCCTTTTATCCCCGAAGGGGTAGGCAGAGGTGCACATTATGCTACTGTACAATGTAACACCTACTTTTCACTATTTATGTTGTGAGTCCCATGTAATAGGGGGTGAGCCTATTGCCATATACCGGGCACAAATCCAGACTCCGTGCTATTACTGAAAATTTTTAAAAACCCAGTAATACTTTGCCCGACCTGGGAATCGAACCCGAGACCCCTTGCCCGGCAGTCGCACTTGCGACCACTCGGCCAACGAGGCAGTCAGTGTAAATATTTTACAACGAGCAGTGTAAATATTTTAGTTTTTGGTTAATTATATTTTAAGTTGTATATATTTATTTTGTACTAGCTACTTCCGCGAGGTTTCACACGCTCTGCTCAGCTCCTATTGGTCGTCGCGTAATGTTTTATACCCTATAGCCATCCTCGATAAATGCGCTATCCAACACAAAAATAATTATTCAAATCAGACTTGTAATTACGGAGATTTAACTGGGGCTCCGGCTCGACGTGCAGGAGAAGGAACGGGGTGGTTTTTAGTCAGTAAGAGTCTGACACTCCCTTCCGCCTCACCCAGGCGGGAGCAGTCATTCGATGGTTTTCCCCCCTTAAAAAAAAAAAAAAATTACGGAGATTAGCGCGTTCAAACAAAAAAAACAAACTCCTCCGCTTTATATAATGGTATAAGATCTAATACTATATTTTTTCAGAAGTAACGAAGCTTTACCGGTATTATTAAAAAAAATCATTATCGTCGTCAACAACATGCTATAAGTGGCCACTGCTGACCAAAGGCATCTTCTCGCACGGAGAAGGTTTGAGCATTAATCACCTCGCTTGGTCAATGCAGATCTCAAATATATAATTAGAAATAATTAGAAATTGTAAGCCCTGGTTTCCTCACAATGTTTTTCTTCACCGTTTGTCATTGGTGTCTAGATAATCTTAGAACGGGCATTTAACTCGGAAAAAGTCACATTGATACTTGCTGTTGGTCTAACTCGCACCCTCATGCATGAGAAGCGGGCGTCTTAAACCTCCGGGCCACCACGACATTACCATACACGCGCGCGATTATTTTATTGAAATCAGTTAAAAAGAATTGAATGTCTTTATATTTAATGAATATGCTTTGTCCATTCACGCTAATGATATTATACATACACTAGCTGTTACCCGCGACTTCGTTCGCGTGAAATTATTCATATTTCTTGTTAATTTATACTTTTTTGACGCGACAACGTGTTGATTGGCGAGGCGTACTTGAGAGCTAGTATGAAACGGAACGTTTATTGTCTACTCAAGATGGCGACTGTGGTTTGTTTCTCAGTGTCAAAGAGTATAATAAGTATAGGGGAAGTCAGTGTCATTAAAATGAATTAATAACACGAAATAATCTCCGTAATCCGAATTTTGCGGATATATGTTGTCGACTCGAAATCGATATTTTTTTTATGTTTTGTTATTCAGGTAATGTTTCGATCGAGTCTACCGTACCCCTTGACGACCTTATTAATATAGATAGAGATAAGTCATAGGTTATTATTTATAATATCATTGGTCATAGGTAGGTATCATGGTCTGTCACTGGTGAAATTAAGGATTTTAAAAAGTTTTATGACACATGTGTGACTTGATAACTCAGCGGTTATAGCGCTAAGTCTGAGAGTTCTACTAGTATGTACATTTTTGTCATTCGATTTTATAAAAACACTTACTACCTATACGTTACGCTCTGTGATTAACTTTAGGTACCGGAGGTCCAAATAATTCTTTAATAAACTACATTCGAAAAACCGACTTCAAGCCCCTCTTTTAAGTCAGTTAATTCATATACCTTATCCTTAGTGTAACACAAACACTTTTCTGAAAACCGCAGCAGTATCGGTTTAGCCAATCGCGAGATACATCTTGCACAAACATACATACACACATACAGGTCAAACTGAACACTTCTTTCTTTTTTTGAAATCGGTTAAAAACGCTGGCAACGCACTTACGTCTCTTTCTCTTTTAATACTTAAATTGAGCTTATATCCCACTCCATCCTTTAATAAATCCACCATGGATGGCCCAAAAGGGCTGACATCGATACGTAGCCGCAGAGTACTCAACGGATTGCCGGGGTTCCGGATCCAAGGGGCAGGAGTAGGAACGTGGTGGTTCTTAGATAGTAAGAGTCTGTTCGATGATTTTCTCCCCTTAAATAATCCCTTAATTAATTCCAATAATCAAAGTTATCACCTCTTTTATATCGACTTTTAACTGTATTATTATAAGACTTTTCGTTGACATTTTGCAGCAATGCGGTCATTACGTTGTGGTAAAAACTGGAGCCCTGAAAAAAAAATTATTTATAATACTTACTATTTTTTTCTATTTCTAAATACTACTACAAATTATCTTGATTTACGACGTAGACGACTAGGGTAATCAACCCTACGACTTTCACAAAGTAAGTGTGGCAGAGCAATGCTTCGGCACGAATGGGAAGGCTCGACCGGAGTGATACCAAGACCTCACAGAAAACCGACGTGAAACAACGCTTGCGTTGTGTTTCGTCGTGTGAGTGAAGTTATCCCCCCCTTCCCACCCCTCCCCAATCCCTGATTCCCCAACAATCCTCAAATTCCTAATCCCAAAAGGCCGGTAACGCACTTGCACGCCTCTGGTGTTCCAAGTATCCATGGGCGACGCCGATTGCTTGCCATCAGGTGATCCGTCTGCTCGTTTACCGACTTATATCATAAAAAAAAGTATTTGACAAACATACCCTTGTCGTAGCTTCACGGGTTTCAGTTCCTGTAGATAATGGTACAGACGTTGCAAAACAACACTGGCTTGATAAGAAAAATATCATGTAGCACAGTGTAAAAGTATTTAAAACTGCCATTTTATTAAGTATAATTCTAGGACTGTATTTGGGTATTTACGTCGATATCTTTCAAGATAAAACGAACTGTGATCGCGCGATGACTGTGTTGCTGTGTTCTGGGGCTATCACAACAAATATTGTCTTTCTTATAATGCATTCTTTTTACAAAACAAAGGAATGAATTCTATTGTTTTTTTTTTCTTGTATCATCGTTTATATTTTATTTTTTTATTGGGATAAGCCGGCAAACTAGCAGACTGATCATTTGATGGTAAACAATCGGCGCTGCCCATTCTCCCGAAACACCAGTGGCGCTACAAGAGCGTTGCCGGCCTTTTGGACGTTAGAAATTCTAGGGTTGTTGGTGATTGGAAATTTGGAGAGAGGGAGGGAGGGTTTAATTGAGCCCCCTGTAACCTCACTCGCACAACGCAACGTAAGCGCTGTATCACGTCGATTTTCTGTAAGACCGTGGTATTACTCCAGTTGAACCACTCCCACACGTTTAATAAAATTTACTTATGAACCCGCTTCGGAAGTAATGCAATCCTTTTCGAACAAATAGATGTTTTCCAAATACAATATCATAAAGATTTCTTCACTTCACCATTTATTAAGTTCATAATTTGTTCTATACAGAGTGTCCTCGTTATATTAGTCAGTGAGGCTGTATGCTCCAGATTTCGATCGTAGCTGACATTTACGACCAGCTACTGTCCTCTAAATAATCTCAAACTGACATTTCTAACTTACCAAACTTGTAGCATTACATGTATGAAAGTAATTTATTGTTGATAGTTGCAATAAATAAACGATAAAACAAACACTTAGTATTAGTAGGATAATAGTGTGTTACCTAATTTGGATCGATATGTGTTATTTAAAAAAATAAAATTGATTTCAAAAAACACTTAGTATTAGTAGAATAATAGTGTGTTACCTAATTTGGATCGATATGTGTTATTTAAAAAAATAAAATTGATTTCAAAATACTTTTTGTGGTTTATTTTGTGATACTATTAAATTAATTATAATATTATGTCTATTATAACAGTCAAGGATATTGAAAATAGACGGACGTAGTCTCTAGAGACAACGACTGTGGCACCTGGTTACTATAGTTACACGCAGAACTTAAACACATTGATACGAAGGACATTCTGCCATTTCCTTAATTTGGTAACGTGGTAATCTATTATACACGCACACATAAATAAACTACTGACATTTTGATACTTCAATCGTTTGTAAGTCCTTGATGACACCGTATGTCGCGCAATGCTGCTAATGAATATAAAACCTTTTTTTTTTCTAAGCGGGAAAATCATCGAATGACTGCTCCCGCCTGGGTGAGGCGGAAGGGAGTGTCAGACTCTTACTGACTAAAAACCACCCCGTTCCTTCTCCTGCACGTCGAGCCGGAGCCCCGGTTACCCGTTAGGTTCTCCGCAACTCCGAATAATATAAACCCCTAGCCTAGTTTGAACCTAGTCGAGTCCCTTGTCAAGCTTTTACCCACGAGAGTAAACTAATATTATGTTCCATAATGTAGACAGAGAAGATTATTGTCTGTAAACACACTAGATTAAGAACATACTATATTTTTTTTTATGTCTGTACAGACACAATGTGGCGCACTACCATAATATTATCTACCATCTATTGTAACATACCTATATTGACGAAATAAATAATATTTGAATTTGTATTAACATAATACTTGATTTCAAAGTAGCATTAAACCCCTATGATATACATTTGAATCGTTATACAAATGATTCTTAATTAAATTAGTTATTATGCAGCAAGTAAAACATGAAGCATGTTCTACATTTACCGTATTCATTCATATTTTTTTCTTTTTCATATCGTTCAGGTTCTTAAGTTTTACCTTGGGTAGGGTTTTATACCCTTAAATGAAAAAATAGATAAAACCACATAGAACTAGCCCTTGGAACTAGCATAGAACAAAAATAAATTGTATATATAACCTCTTTAGTATAAAAACACCAAAAAATAAAATACAAACTTTTTTCATTTATTACTGGCCGGTAAGAAACCGTGAAAGTCAATTAAAAGTAATAAAGCTCCCACATTTTATAGGTTATAAACTGACAAAAAATTCCAATCTGCTTCAAAAACTTTTAAAAGAGAAAGAAATAGTTTAAACCAGAAATAAAATGCAATGTTTTTACAAAAAGATAACTCCGATATATTAACCAATACCAAAGCCAACTGTAATGAGTGAAATATGTCAGGTACGGATAAAAGTATGTCTCGTATTGTCATTTGTTGAGTTATATCGTATTGCACATTTATTTTATTTATTTTTGTATATCTCTGTTTTTATTTTGTTTTCGTATACAGCAACTGATTCTTCTGCACAAACTCAAGATATTGCCAAACCAAAAAGGAAATGTAAGTACATTAAATAATTACGTGTTAAGAATAGTGTCGTATGTGAATATGTCTGCCAGCATAATTTTGCGTTTACACACATCTCACAGTTAAAAACTTGAGAACAGTAAAAAACAGAGTATAATTATTAATGAAAAAAAATTCAAAACCTATCTAACTAAATCTTGCCGCTTTATCTCAGCTATATTCATCTCATAGATTGCAAATTATCATCCAATCAATTAGGCATACGATCGATACAAGCTAAACAAGTCTATCAATTATCACTAAGTATGTCACTGAAAGAATGATAATTTGTAGCTACGGTAGTGAGTTAAATATGCTATTAATCTATCAACAGAAGAATTAATAATGGCTTCCTTGCATCGATATCAAAAAGGGGTTTGTTATTAATGAGTTTGCAGAGGAAAATTATTTCCCAGTGAGGAGCGCGGCGGCCCCGCGCGCCTTTACGTTTTTCCTTCCCGCCGCGTTCAGTCGGCCGGCACCCGCCGCGGAGCTCACAGCTCAGCACCCGACGCTCGCACACCTCACACTGTTTATTTACAAATAGACCGTCACATTTGACAACAGCAGAGGCAACACGCATTCACGTACGTCAGTAGTATCTTTCATTGTTTTAAATCACCTCTCGATATGTAACATTTGGGAAATTCACACATATTCAAAGAATGTCAACACAAACACATTATTATGTTCAGTCTGCATTCATGAAAGTGCCGATTCTATTTACTCTTGTCCGTTCTATGAAGCTCCATTTCGCTTGTAGATAATTGAACTAAATGACAATTTAAGTGTGTAGGTGTTAATTGGCTCATATAAACTTTATCAAATCTAACCTTACAGCCATTACTAGGTGTATTTAGACTGCTTTCCTTCATAACAGCGCTATTAGATTAAGTAACAGTGTTCACACGTTACTAAGAAGTTACGGGAGAAGCAATAAATCGTTTGAAACAAAAGCAAGTGATTAAACAGTGTTCATGCAAAAACATGCTGATGCAAACATGTGCCAAACATTTGTTACGTTAAACTAATGAAAGTTTTTAAAAGTATTTTATTGCCAAATTGATAGAGTTTACTTTCCAACTGAATATGAGGAGAACTTTTTAAAATTCTGCGCGGCTTAATTTAAAATTATGATATCATACTGTTTTCAAGTTTTTTTCTTTATTTTGATGGTGTGTTATATAGTTTTATGTTAATTTTAAGTCAAATATCCTGTGTATTGTTGCCAACTAATACACTAATTCATTAGTGCTCGGCTGCCCATTCGTTTTGTCCCCAATTCGTTTGTTTACGCTCGATGCATCGCGCCCGCGCCCTCGCGTCCGAAAGCTATAACATATACGTTGGAATCGATGTAAATTCGTTCAAACTATAATTTAAGAGCAACCGTTACGACCGCTAAAATTATCGAATGATCTAATTACCTATAAAGATCATCGTACATTAGACGTGTATTATGAAAATGATTAGTTTGTTTAAGCGCGATTGATCTCTCGATCTTGTAGTTTGTAAACGAAAAAGCTTGATATTTATAATGTTTGATGATGAGTATAGATAAGTATTATATCTATAACATATATTAACTTAGGCTTAACTAGCTGTTGTTCGCGACTTCGTCCGCGTAGTATATGAATTTTAGAACATAACAATTTTTTTGTTTCATTTCCCCAAAATAAAAGTAGCCTATATTTTGCTCCTTAGTACATCAGCTACCTGCCAATAAAAGTCTTGCAAAATTGGTCCACCCATTCCAGAAACTAGCTAGTACAAACAGATAGACAAAAATTATAAAAAATGATATTTTAGTATGTGGATCGTATGTATATGCATGGAGTAAAAAGTGGTTATTTTAATATTAAAAACAGACACTCCAGTTTTATTTATCTGTATAGATGTTAATATTTATCTAACTGAAGATTTATAACATTTATTAGATATCTGAGACTGCCTCGTTGGCCGAGTGGTTGCAAGTGCGATTGCCGGGCAAGGGGTCCTGGGTTGGATTCTGTTAAATTATTACTGGGTTTTTTAAAAAAATCTCAGTAGTAGCACAGAGTCTGGAATTGTGCCCGGTATATGGCAATAGGCTTACCCCCTATTACATGGGACTCGTATCATAAATAGTGAAAAGTGGGTGTTAGATTGGTATAATATGCAGCTCTGCCTACCCCTTCGGGGATAAAGGTCGTGGTGTTATGTTATGTTATTAATTAGATTCTTAAATTTAGTTTCTTGAGTTAGAAATTTTGCAACAAAAGCTTAAAACGTTTGTAAGTAGATCGCTTGAATATCATTAAGATATAGGTACTTACAACACTTGATGCTGGAAACAAAGATCGGGAAAACATTAAACATAATGAAGAAATTCCATGTTACAGCTTCATTCTGGTTACATGCTTATTCTGTCTCATACTTTTAATATATTAACTATCTAGACCAGATGTTACGAAACATACAAGCGACCTTGAGCTACTTGCATTGTGTAGTTTTAAATGCTGCACTATACCTCGCTTTTCGGCACATCAGCTTCGACAACAAGCTATATTTGTTGTTAATCTAATCTAGACCTAGATTTACGAATGTCTGTGCTC